GGAAAGACCCTACCACAAGTCAAAACTAAGAGAATGTCCCTTGCAGGTGGTTTTTTTTTTTAATAATTGGTGAATGTATTGGTTTAAAAAAATCAGCAGTGATATCTTTTTGAAGTGATATCTTTTTGATTGGCTATTTCATTCCATTCTGTACCAGAGCTGCTCTTTAAGTAGTTTATTGTGGGAAGCTGTCACACTAAATTAAGGGGGGGGGGTATGTAAGTTGTCTGCTAGGAAAATTTTTTAAAAATAAAATTAGAAAGAGAAGTTATAATATTTATTTCCTCAGCTCAGTGGATTGTCTTTCACACTGGAGACCATTGACATAAGGCAGCAACTAAATAGCTTCTGATGCTGCCTGTATTCTGTACAGTCTTTTGAAAACTAAATGTAGCTCTGTAGGGAAGGTACCATCTCTCCATCAGCAAGGTGCAGATGACAGTGCCTGCTGCTGTTCCTCCTGACTCAAAGCTGTTCATTCTCTTCAAGGAGTCCATCAGCCAATCCTAGCTGCATTCAGAGCCACCACGGTACTGACTTGACCATTCAGAAGATGAGAATCACTCTCACTAGCCTCAGTGCTGAATCTTATACTGACTCAATTAAAGAAGCCAAAGAAAAGAACTTGAAAGAAAGGCCTATGCCTATACCCACTAAGACACTTTGGAGCACAACTAGAAAAACATTTTGTGGCTAAGGTTCACAGATTCCTCCTGAGATTATTGAACAGATTAGATCACTTCTATCAGCTTTAAACCAAATATAGAAGTTGAAGTAACCATTGCAGATGTCTTGTTGTAAATTGCTTACAATTACTAAATTTTGAAAGTGAATCTATTTTAACATTAGAAAACCATTTTAAGATTTGTTCAGATTTTAAATAAGTAAAACTGAGTTTTATTTGGTCCAGGAGAGAGAAGAATTTATCAGCCAATAGAAATTTTCAAACCCTATTGAAATTTTTTGGGAGGAGAGGATTCTGATCTGTGATTTCATCAATATAAAAAATTCTCATCAATTCAGATCAGTAACTCAACTGGAACTTAGTATTAGAGAGGGCACTTCAGGGTCGCAAGGCTGGTATATGTCAAAGGCAAGACTTGAATTTGTCTTTTTTTTTTAATAAATTTATTTATTTTCAGTTTTCAATATTTACTTCCACAAGATTTTGAGTTCCAAATTTTCACCCCATCTCACCCCTCCCCCACCCCAAGATGGCATGCATTCTGAATTCCCTTCCCCTAGTCTGCCTCTCTTCTATCTTCCCCCTTCTCTTATCCCCTTCCCCTTCTATTTTCCTGTAGGGCAGGATAGACTTCTGTACCCCATTTCCTGTATTTCTTATTTCCCAGTAGCATGTGAAAACTTTTTTTTAAACATATGTTTTTAAAACTTTAGGTTTCAAATCTTCTCCCTTCCTCCTTCCCCACCCACCCTCATTGAAAAGGCAAGCAACTCAGTATAGGTTATACATGTGCAGTTATGCAAAACACTTCCATAGTAGACATGTGAAAAACTATTTCCCTTAATCCTATCCTGCCCTCCCATTTATTCTATTCTTTCTTTTGACCCTGTCCCTCTTCAGAAGTATTTGCTTCTGATTACCCCCCTTTCCCAATTTGCCCTCCTATCTATCATCCCCCTGCTCTCTTGTCCCCTTCCCCCCTATTTTCCTGTAGGGTAAGACAGATTTCCATACCCAATTGAATGTGTATGTTATTCCCTCCTTAAGCCAAATCCTATGAGAATAAGATTCACTCATTCCCTCTCACCTTCCCCATTTCCCCTCCACTGTAAGAGCATTTCTTTTCTTGTTTTTTTTTTGTGAGATAATTTACTCCATTCTACCTCTCCCTTTCTTCTTCTCCACATATAATCCTCTCTCATCCCTTAATTTTATTCTCCAGATATGACCCCTTAATCTTCAACTCACCCTGTGCCCTCTATCTATCTATCTATCTATCTATCTATCTATCTATCTACCTATATATACATATAATTTTTTTCCTCCAACTACCCTAATACTGACAAAGGTCTCATGAGTTATAAATATCATCTTTCCATGCAGGAATGTAAACAGTTCAACCTTAATAAGTCTCTTATGATTTCTCTTTCCTGTTTACCTCTTCATGTTCCACTTGAGTCTTGTATTTGAAAGTCAAATTTTCTATTCAGCTCTGGTCTTTTCATCAAGAATGCTTGAAAGTCCTCTATTTCACTGAATGACCATTTTTTCCCCTGAAGGATTATACTCAGTTTTGCTGGGTAGGTGATTCTTGCTTGTAATCCTATCTCCTTTGCCCTCCAGAATATTATATTCCATGCCCTGCGTCTTTAATGTAGAAGCTGCTAAATCTTGTGTTATCCTGATTGTGTTTCCACAGTACTTGAATTGTTTCTTTCTGGCAGCTTGTAATATTTTCTTTGACCTGGGAACTCTGGAATTTGGCTACAATATTCCTAGGAGTTTTCCTTTGGGGATCTCTTTCAGGAGGAGATTGTGGATTCTTTCAATTTCTATTTTGCCCTCTGGTTCTAAATATCAGGGCAGTTTTCCTTGATAATTTCTTGAAAGATGATGTCTAGGCTCTTTTTTTGATCATGGCTTTCAGATAGTCCAATAATTTTTAAATTCTCTCTCCTGGATCTATTTTCCAGGTCAGTTGTTTTTCCAATGAGATATTTCACATTGTTTCTATTTTTTCATTCTTTTGGATTTGTTTTACAGCATCTTGATTTCTCATAAAGTCACTAGCCTCCAATTGCTCTATTCTAATTTTTAAGGAAGTATTTTCTTCAGTAATCTTTTGGACTTCCTTTTCCATTTGGCCAATTTTTCTTTTTAGGGCGTTCTTCTCCTCATTGGCTTTTTGGACCTCTTTTGCCATTTGGGTTAGGCTATTTTTTAAGGTGTTATTTTCTTCGGTATTTTTTTGGGTCTCCTTTAGCAAGCTGTTGAGTTGTTTTTCATGATTTTCTTGCATCACTCTCATTTCTCTTCCGTTTTTCCTCTACTTCTCTTACTTGCTTCTCAAAATCTCTTTTGAGCTCTGATTCATATTTTTCTTGGAAGCTTTGTATGTAGGAGCTTTGACTTTGTTGTCTTCTGGTTATATGTTTTGATCTTCTTTGTCACCAAAGTAAGATAATATAGTCTGACTCTTTTTGCACTGCTTGCTCATGATCCTGGCCAGTTACTTGAGTTTTAAACTTTTTGTTAAGGTAAGAGTCTGCTTCCAATGTGGAGAATATACTGTCCCAAGCTTCGGGGGTTTATATAGCTGTTTTCAGAGATACTTGTAGGGACTCATAAATTTTCAGTTCTTGTGAAGTGTTTACTCCTTTCCTGGTCTGTTAGTGACCACAAGCACTCCTTTCTGCCCTGGAACTGTGAGGAAGATTTCCTGTTCACAGCCACTACAAGCTCCACCGTGGCAGCACTCTTCCTCACCCCAGGACCCCCGTCCAGAACTGTGACCAAGATCCAAGCATGGGCAAAGCAAGAGATTCCTGCCTCAGCACCAGCAGAGAGATCCCTGCAATTCCCTTCTGATCAGCCACTCGATTCCCCCTCAGTCTGTGGGCCTGAAGCTCGGGAAGCAGCTGCCCACCCCAGGGCCATACTCTTGGGGAATGGAGCTGAGACCCCGCCTTCCTCTCTCAGCACCACAGAAACAGACTTTTTCCACTGACCTTCTAAGTTGTCTTTGGCATTCGTGGATTGAGGAGTCTGGAGACCACCACAGCTGCCAGCAATTCAGTCCTCTGAGGCCTGCTCCAGATTTGTTGCGGCCTGCACGCCACGCTGTGCTCCTCTCTCAGCCTGTTGTGATAGACCTTTCTGATCAATCATCCAGGTTGTCTTGGGCTGGAAATTTGTTTCACTCTGTCTTTTTGTGGGTTAAGCTACCTTAGAATTTGTTTAGAGCCATTTTTATAGGTATTTGGAGGGGTTTGGGGGAGAGCTCAAGCAAGTTGCTGCTTTTACTCCGCCATCTTTGAATTTGTCTTCTTGACTGCAAGGTCAGCCCTGTTTCTCTAGTTGCCTTTTCTATCTTTTGTCCAGTTAAATTGTTAATATACATTCTGTTCTGTTAATTTGGATCATGTTTTAAAGTTTGATTTGTTTCACATAGGTGAAATTTCAGAACAAAATATTAATGCTTTCTGTTTGATGGCATAGATAACAAATTATGTGCATAAATTAAGTGTTCAATAATAAATCAGACTCAAAAATCTAACTTAGGATTACCTCACTTAAGCACTGTGAATTGGTCACAGGAGTATTTAGCTGATAATATAATGTAGGTAAACTGCTATTTAAGGTTTGTCTTAAATAGATGTATTCTCTTTACCTCCTTTTTTTTGTTTTCATGAAATTTAATTTGTCACTGGCTACAAGTCATTTTTTATGTCTGTTGTTATAATACATTTTGAATAGGTCTGCCTTCTTTTGTCCATTAACATTCCTCTTATGTTTGGTGTCTTTGAAAACTTAAAAATGAAAATATCCTTTGATTTATTCCTGTAGCATAGAAGGTCTGTGTGTGAGTGATGTGCAGAGAAAGATAAGATAGGAATAGCTTGTAAAAGCCCTTATGTACTGAACAAAGGGGTTTATTCACAGTCCCTAATTTAGTGCTGGCAATAAACTAGGCATTCACTAAGTACTTGTTAGTAGAATGGCATAGGAAAATGGATCTTCCAATTAGAGTTCTGTCCTCACATTTTGCATATTAGAAAGCCAAGGCTCCTAGAAGTGAAATGACTTTTTCAAGGTTATGAAGCTAGTTTTATATAAGAGCCAAGATAAGGCCCTCGGTTATTTACTTTTTGGTTTAGTCCTCTTTCTGCTATACCACATTTAATCAAATTGCTTTGTAGGAAATATTGGTGAAATCTTATGGCCTTTTTAAAAAACTGAAATATTTATAAAGTCAGTTCTGGAAGCAAGTAAATTTATAGTATGTTGGGTTTTTGTTTTTTCATTTGTTTCACAGTCACAATGAGAATTATCTGCTTACTCTGTGTATGTCTTTTGATGCTGGGGGATTTCTTGGAAGCCAAGTTTGATGATTTTGAGGATGGAGACGACATGGTAGAATATGATGATAATGACTTTGCTGAGTTTGAGGATGTAATGGAAGATGTTGTCACAGAGCCCCCTCAGCGAGTTATCACCACAGAGGAAGATGAAGAAGAAGCCACTGTGGAGCTGGAAGGGCCAGATGACAACCCAGAGGATTTTGAAGATACAGATCCCCAGGTGAGCTTCTGTTCTAAGATCTACAGCAATCAGATCAATAATGTCGAAATAAGTAATAATTTACTAAGCATATAAATAAGACCCTTTTCCAAGAGACCTTTATTGCCTAGAGCTTTCTTTTTTTGATCAGTAGATGGAGCCCTTCTCCCTCATAAAGTATAATTTATTACTGTGGCAATATTTCATCTTAAAAGTCCATCTTGTAATGAAATGAAAATTTCCTCCTCCCTACACTCCCGTTAAAAACCATAGGAAAAGAAAGTTGATTTGTTTAGGGGAGAAGATCTGATCAACTTAAATTCTTAACAAAAAGCATGGGAGGTTACTACTATACCTTTAAAGAAAACATTTCGTATTTTTGTTCTCTGCTTGCTGTTTTATATATCTATTTTTTCTCTAGAAATATCATCTGAAATAATGTTTTTCCTTTTCTTAGGAGGGGGATACTGAAAATGAACCATATGATGATGAAGAGTTTGAAGGCTTTGAAGAGAAACCAGATATGTCTTCCAGCAAAAGCAAAGACCCTATAACAATTGTTGATGTAAGCATACAAGGCACTGAATGCCAGACAGACCCACAGTGTGACATTTTGTTACTGTTGGCTTCAAGTTATAGTTACTTACACACACTTAACTGGGTGTTGAGATAATAGTCAAAAGTACTGGAGAAATTCCTTTTCCGTTGTACTCCATGTCTGCACCCGATTACCAAGACACAGCAGAAGGGAGAGATGCATAAGATGTAGACAAAAAATGGCTTCTAGTCTAGTGTGTCAAATACATTTTCCAACTCTTTCTTGTCATTATATTGTGTTTTCTTGAGGTTTTTCAAGCAGGAGTAATATAGAACATCAGAATGATTGTATTTTCTTAACATTTTATGAGCTTCACTAAAAATAATTTAATTGTTTCAGTAAAACAGCCATTATTACTTAGTTATGATTTATATCTTCTGGAGTTTTCTTTTATGCCATAAGAAGCCACATTCTTTATTATTAACTATAATAACTCTGTTTTTGCTAGGTCCCTGCACACCTTCAAAATAGCTGGGAAAGTTATTATATGGAGATTTTGATGGTAACAGGCCTGCTTGCCTACATCATGAATTATATTATTGGAAAGAATAAAAACAATCGTCTGGCTCAGGCCTGGTTTAATACCCACAGAGAGCTTCTGGAAAGCAACTTTACCCTCGTTGGTGAGTTAGGCCTGTTCAGATTGAGCTACTGACCTGAAAATGACCTTCTGAGAATGGTTTCCTGCCCCTAAACAATATAGGCAGCTACTTTGGTAAAGCACTCAACATCTGCTAAAGGGAAGATGCTATAGTACTGCTTAAGGCTCACTACATTTGTAGAGTAGAGAATAATGAGACAATATTATAGGCTGAGACTTGGCCTGTCTTCAAAATTGTGAACTTTTTGTGGAAAAGAACTGTTTCTCTTTATTTTTATTTCATTATAAACATACATATCTCATCTGTCCTTTAGGTACTCAGATTTATACTCGTCAATCTCTCCCTATCTAGTGGTTCCCCTTTACTGCCCACAAACACATCGAAGTTTCCTCCATCCTTAAAAAACTCTCATTAGACCTGAACTGTTCCATCATGCTATCATCATATATATATCCTCCCCCATAGATCTCCTTAAAAAGCTGTCTATATTCTATTCCTTCACCTCTCATTCAGTTTTCAGTCACTTGCAGTCTCACTTCCAGTGTCGCTGAGCAACTGAAGCTGCTTTTTCCAAGTTACAAATGATCTTTTAGTTGCCAAATTGGAGGGCCTGTTTTCACTGCTCATCTTTCTTGACCTCTTTGCAGCTTTAGGCACCTTGGGCTTCCTCCTTCTTTGCTCTCTGGGTTTTTGTGACTTTTATCCTCCTACCTCTCCAACCCCCAGTCTTGTTTGCTGGAGTTTCATCCAGATCACGCTCTTTAATTTTGAGTGTCCTCAGTGACTCTGATTTGTCCCTTTTTTCTCTCTATGCTCATGGGTTTAATTATCTCTATACAGATGAATCCCAGATTGATATATCCATCCAGTCCATTGCTCTTTGCTGAGCTCCAGTTACATATCACCACCTGCTCATTGGATGTTTCGAACTGGAAGCCAAGAAGACACCTCCCACTCAACATATCCAAAATAGAATTCATTTTCTTTCCCTAAAACCTTACCCCTTTTCTTATTGTGGTTTTTTTCCTTTGGCTTTTTGTTTTGTTTTGTTGTTTGTTTGTTTTCTGTTTTTTTGGCTAGGCAGTGGGATTAAGTGACTTGCTCAGGGTCACACAGGTAGTAAGGATCAAGTGTCCTCCTGACTCCAGGGCTGGCACTCTATCCACGATGCCACCTAACTTGCCGGCACACACACACACGCACGCACACACACACCCACCACTACCCCTTTTCTAAATTTCAATCAGTCAACAAGCTTTATTAAGTAAGTATGTGATGCCAGGCATTGTCCTAGGTACTAGGAAGACAGATACAAAAGAAAAAATCCCTCCTCTGAAGGAGCTTACATTCTAATGTAGGAAACTCTTGTGTGTGTATTTAAACTTAACATCTACACCAAGACTTTTCAGACAATCTGTTTTTTTTCTTTATATACTTACGTATATGCATGTTGTAATGTAGGTTCTTTAAGTGCAGGAACTGTCTAATTTTTACTTTTTGTATCCCTTGTGCCTAGGACAGCACATAGTAGGTAACAAATGTTGGTTGTTTTTATATTCTTTAACATATCCAGAAGTGAAATAAACACAAGCAGCATCTCCTCCCTCAAACATTTGGCATATTAGTCTTTATGAGTGGAAAAATATTTTCTGTGCTAAATTATCAAAAGGATAAGAATTGAATTTTTGTTTTTACTCAGGCCAATAATGATAGTAATTTTTCATGTTATATACTTCATTAAAGTTTACGAAAGGTGAAGCTGTCTCTCAGATCCAGCCCTGGGTACTTTTGATGAAAGGTAGCTACTGTTCGGCTGTTACAGTGGTTTCCAAACTTTGTATAGTGGTACTGCAATTGGTGCAAACTGTTTTCTTAATTTGTATTTTGGTCATAAAACCATTAATTCTTTAAAATTTTGTAGCACACAAACCTTTAAACATACACAGCTACTAATTTATTAATGAGCTCCTTTAGACTTTTTGTATTTACAACTTATAAGATAACCATAATAATAATAATTATTAATATGGTGGTTGAGCTTGGTTTTGGTAGTTTCTCCTAACCTGCTGCCATTGATAATGCTGCTACTCATATTCTTTTTTAATCACTAATTGGGATGGAAATTTTGTCTTCATAATAGCTACAGCACAAAGCCCTGTTTCAAAGAACAAAATGTTATAAATAGTAGCAAGTTTTTAATCACTTTTTGATAAACAAGAGAATCCCTTATTCTCTTGTAGCCAAAATATAAGTGTTTCAGTTTTAAACATACTTTCTCAAGACAAGTCTTTTGATATTGGTGTTTAGAGTGAAATTAGATGTCATATTCGTCCTTAGCAAGCAGGTTCCTTATGCATATAAGTCTTTCAAATAAATTGAAAATTGCTTCTACAGACTGGTCAAATGATTAATACATTTTTCTATTTAATGTGTAGGTCAGGCATTTTTCAAATTGGGGAATTTATTTACATTAGGATACTTATTAGTCACCTTCTGTTGTGCTATGCACACTAATCTTTTAGGTACTGAAAATGCCAAAGACAAAAAATGAAATTATTTTCTTTCAAGAGCCATGTAAAAATATTACTTTGAAAATATATTACACATAGCTCTTAACTTTTTCACAAATAGAATCACTGTATCTTTCTGGATTTGAATATGAGTGTAAGGACTTTACATTGATTTTTTTAGAGTACTTCATTTTTCAAAAATATCCACCAGGTATGTAAGCTTTAGGGGAAAATTTTTATTAATATCTTGTTTTTACATCATTACTTTCATTTCCAAAGAAGTCCTTTCCCCATCTCTTACTCAGACAGCCATTGCTTAAATTTTTTTTTAAAAAAGGCTGGTTTATCAAAGCTAGCAACATATCAACCAGGCCTGGTGGTGTTTGCAGTGTTCCACACCGATAGTTTTGCATTTATTCAACGAAGAGAAGTAGCTACAAGGAATGGAGCCACGTTTGGTTGTTATAATTACACAGCAGCCATGTGAATAAAGGCCCCAAATCAATAATGACAAGAGACTCTGAGGGTTCGCATTATATGCAGCAAACTGGCAGTGACAAAAAGGGGAACTGCAGGGGGCAGCTAGGTGGCGCACTGGATAGAGCACCGGCCCTGCAGTCAGGAGTACCTGAGTTCAAATCCAGCCTCAGACCAAACACTTGACACTTACTAGCTGTGTGACCTGGGGCAAGTCACTTAACCCCAATTGCCTAGAAAAAAAGGTGGGGGGGATTGCTGCTGTTGTTAGAGTATACTAGAGCATTCTGTAAGTACAACTGTGAATTAGTCCAACCATTCTGTAAAGTAATTTGAAATTATGTGAAGAAAGGGACTAAAATTTCCACACGTGGAGAGCTAGGTATTCCTCTGCTAAGGCATGTACTCCAAGAAGGTCAGTGATGAAAAGGCCCCATATACACCAAAATATTTGTGCTAATTAAGAACTGGGAAACAAAGCGATGCCCATTAATGAGGGAAGAATAAACAAATTCTGGTATATGAGTAGAATATTATTGTGCTATAAAAAACATTGGTTGTAACGAATATAAAGAAGCATGGAATGACTTATATGAGCTAAAGCAAAGGTAAGTAGAACCAGGGAAGCTAATAAGGAGATACTGTGATACTTAACTGGTGTGTTGGTTGGTTTTGATGAACTGTTTTCCCTCTTAGTCTGTATTATAAGGAATGGGGATAGCTCTCTGGATGGGGAAGTAAGGAGAAGTTTATTAGAAACTTAAGGTGATGTAAAAACAAAAAATTATCAATTTTTTTTTCAAAAGAAACTGAAGGTGTATATGAAGAAAAATCTTACTTGCTGTGTTGGTTTTGCTGAACTTTTTTTCCATTTTTATAAAGGATGGTACTCTGAGACAGGGTATATATTGGGATGTATTGGAAAATGTAGGTGATATGAAAACTATATTAATAAATATTTTTAAATTATTTTTTCAAATTTACAGAAGACAACAAAAATGTAGAATGGAACACAAGAGTTTTTTTAATTTAATTAAATATAACGTATGTATGTTCTTTTGGGGGGGGGGTTAGGCAATGGGTTAAGTGACTTGCCCAGGGTCACACAGCTAGTAAGTGTTATGTGTCTGAGGCCGAATTTGAACTCAGGTCCTCCTGAATCCAGGGCTGGTGCTCTATCTACTGCGCCATCTAGCTGCCCCAGTTCTTTTTTTTTGTTTGGTTTTGGTTTTGGTTTTTTTTGGTTAGGCAGTGGGGTTAAGTGACTTGCCCAGGGTCACACAACTAGTGAATGTTGTCTGAGGCCGGTCCTCTGACTCCAAGGCCAGAGCTCTATCCACTGCACCACCTAGCTGTCCCCATATGTGTATTCTTTAAGAATGAAAAAACCATAACATGCTTGTATTCTTATACAAGCCCCTTTTGTTCTTTTTAAAAAATGAATTGTTTAATTAAATCCAAATAAAAATAAAATTTCAGAAAACCACATGGTCATATTACAATTTCGTTGATGTTGACCTTTGTTGGAGAAGCAGTATGATAGCTGAATGGATCATATCAATGAAATCCTCCCTCAGTAAATTTTAGGCTTTTTGGTAGAAGTTTTCAATTTCAATATGTACTTTTGAGTGTTTTGTTCTTACTAATAGTCAGTAAACTCCTAAGAGGAACAGGAAATAATTCCATTGAAGTGGCAAAAACAGTGGCATTGGAAAGATCAATGAGATAATGTATATAAAATGCTTTTTAAACTATAAAGCACACTATAATCAACAGGTATTTTTCAGTATAGTCCACTTCCTTTTGTATGCAGATGGTAAAACTTAGCCAGGGAAGCTAGAATTATGAAAAGAAAAGCCAATTATCTGAATTCTAATGTACTGTATCCTTAGTGGTAGGGTAAACCCTAAACATTTTGTTCAGTGAATAGCATTAAGCAAGTTTTCTTTTTCTCAGGGGATGATGGAACCAGCAAGGAAGCTACAAGCACAGGGAAGTTAAACCAGGAGAATGAGCACATCTATAACCTGTGGTGTTCAGGCCGAGTATGCTGTGAGGGCATGCTTATACAGCTGAAGGTCAGTATGCAAACTTTGGAAGCGTAGAAGTTCTTGGTCTTCCTTCATTCTTCTATAGCTGTTTCCTAAGGTGTAGTGCTTACTACTCATTTGTAGCCTAGGTGGTCAAGATATTATCTCCTTGCTACCTGAAAGAAGTAATTTTGTAGAGAATGTTTGATGAAATTTTGGATTACCAGATGAGTGCCAGTTGTTCTAAGGGTTCCCAATGTAATGTATCATACTTGTATTTTCAGTTTCTCAAGAGACAAGATCTCCTGAATGTCCTGGCTCGAATGATGAGGCCAACCTGTGATCAAGTGGTGTGTATGCCTTCCAGTTAGTTTTTCTGTGTACAGTTTGAGTTCCCAGTCTGTATAGATCATTACCTTCCTAAATTGACTCATTTGTGGGCAAAAAAAACCAAAACCCTGGATTTCTCCTGGACTATTTTTCTGTTTCTCAGAACAATTTATCAAAGTATATGGGAATATTATATTTTTAATTCATGTAGTTTTGTGTTGTGGTCTGTGTACTTAGAGACCTTAATATCAAGTAAATCTCTCTCTTTAATTATAGTGATTCTGTTAACCATCAAATTATATGATTTTCTCTTGATTAAAAATATAGCATTTTGAAATAGGCAGACTGCCATTCATTCATTCATTCATTAAATATTTATTGTTCACTTAGGGTGGTTACTATGTTCAAGGCACTATTTTGGGGCCATATTCGATCCAAATTGTAAAAATTACGCCTCTCAGTATTGAAGAGCTTATACAGTTTAATAGGAAAAATAACACATACATAACAATTTTAGACATAGATGTCTAAAATTCAGTACAATATGTGATAAATGCCTCAAGAATGATGCAAATTAAGTATCTTGAAATAGTTGTTGGATTGAATCTCTTTTTCCTGATTTTAAAGTCTCTATCTACTTCTCTGCATGAAAAGTAGTGAGATGTAATGGCTTAGAAAGGCCAGTCTTAGAAGCTGGAAGACCTGGGTTCAATTCTTGCATTTGACTCAGATCATAAGGAAATCAGTTAACCTTTCGGTGCCCCTAGCAACTCTTTATGAGTTGATCCTTATCACAGAGAGTTTACTGATCTTCATGAGTGGAGGGAGTTTCACACCAGGAATTCCCTACAATGATAAAATCACCCATTTGGACATCACCTCCTCCCTATCCCATCATCCCCACTCCAATATATTACATACTTTTCCTTTTTTTCCCCCCTACTTTGAAATAGGCTAATACAAACGTATTTTTAGATTACTTTATGTAAAGAATCAAGTCATAATTTTTAATAGAGATGCTAACATTGCATATTTATCTTTATTTCTTCCTCAAAAGTAGAATATTGATGCTATATTTAACAACCCACTTAGGAAATCTTAAGCCTGTAAATGGGCTTTACTACTTGTTTGTAAACGCAGTGTAACACTTATTTTCAGCAAATAAAAGTAACAATGAATGATGAAGATATGGATACATATGTTTTTGCTGTTGGCACACGAAGAGCCTTGGTACGACTACAGAAGGAGATGCAGGACCTGGTATGTATATTCTGACTTAAATTTAAACAGAAAAAAATTAAATCCTTTTTCTTTCTCCCATGTTAAATCTTCTATTTCTTTGTTAATTGACTATTACTTAAATTATGTTTAAAATCACTTAGAAATAAGTTAGTGAATGAAACACCTTCACTATCATATGCATACTTAATGTGGTTGGTTTACTTTCTAATAAATAAAGGAAAAATAGGCCCATTAAGGGTATCATGGGAAAGAAAAGATAAAACTCTCTGCCATTCTCCTGAGGCAGGTAATAAGATTTCTAAATTAATATTAGAAATGTTCCATTAGGCAATTGATGATTTTTTTTCTTGGTTACTAAGATCCTACATTTCTCGATGTGGGAAAATTGGAACACTGATACAGTGTTGGTGGAGCTGTGAAATGATCCAGCCATTTTGGAGAACAATTTGGAACTATGCCCAAAGGGCTACAAAAATGTGCATACCCTTTGATCCAGCAATAGCACTTCTAGGGCTATATCCCAAAGAGATCAAACAAATGGGAAAAGGACCCACATGTACAAAAATATTTATAGCAGCTCTTTTTGTGGTGGCAAAGAATTGGACATTGAGAGGATGCCCATCAACTGGGGAATGGCTGAGCAAGTTGTGATATATGAATGTAATGGAATACTATTGTGGTATAAGAAATGATGAACAGGCTGACTTCAGAAAAACCTGGAAAGACTTATGTGGTCTGATGCTGAGTGAAGTGAGTAGAACCAAGAGGACTTTGTACACAATAACAGCCACGTTATGCAATGACTAAGAATGTTAAACTGAACCCTTCTCAGCATTACGAGGATCTAAGACATCTCCAGAGGCCTCAGGATGGAAAATGCTGTCCACATCCAAAGAAAGAACTATGGAAGTTGAATCGCTATCACTTATTTTTACCTTCTGTTGAGTTTTGTTTCATCTTTCTGATGGTTCCTCCTGTTGGTTTTAATTTTTACTTACCACTTCACTAATGTGAAAATATGTTTCATGGGTATGTAAATGTAAAGCCTATATCAGATTGTGCGCCGTCTTGGGGAGGGTGGTGGGGAGGAAGGGGGAAAAAAATTTTAAACTCAAAAGTATGGAAGTGATTGTTGATAAATCAAAATAAATTAATAAAATTTAAAAAAAAAAAGATCCTACATTTCTCTTCCTATTTTCAACAGTGTGAATTTTGTAGTGACAAGCCCAAGTCTGGAACAAAGTATGGACTTCCAGACTCCCTGGCCATCTTGTCAGAAATGGGAGAAGTCACAGAGGGAATGATGGATACAAAGGTAAATGCTAAATGCAGTAGAAAAAAATGTCCCTGCAGGATTTTGCATTTACAGGATACATACCATTAAAGCTATAAAATTTTTAAACTTTTGCAACTAATTTGTACTGTTTCTACACACAGATGTTAAAATGAAAACAGAAGAAGGCGTTACTTCTAGGGAATTGATTAAATAATATTTTGTTTTGTTAAACTGTTTTCTTCTCCAATTAAACAGCAAAGTTTGCATAGGATAGACCTTTGGGGGATTTTTGTTTTGTTTTCAGGTTGTTTTAAAATACATTCTCCAGGAGTTTTTTTTTTTCAGGGAGAAAGAATATAGTACTACCATTATTATTCCTATCAGGAATCACATTGGTGATTAGTCTGTGTTTCTTTAGTTTCTTTAGTTAGGGTGGGAAGAAAAGGCTGTAGAAATAGACACCAAGATACAGGTTGTGTAAGAATAAGAACAATCCTTGTTATCTCTGTCTTTATATCTTAGAACCACTAGGAAATCAATTCACATCAATTTAGCAAAGATTTATTAAACATTTATTATGTGTAAGATACTTTGTTAGGCACTGGGATACAAAGATGAAATAAGACATTATCTTTGCCTTTCCAGTACCTTAAGGTTTAAAAAATATGTATCCAGATAACTGTGGTGCAAGGCAGAATGTGCTAAATTCAAAGGAGGGACCCAGACAAAATGTTTTGAGGTATTTGAGAAATGAGAGGTGACTTTCAACCAGGAAAATCAGGGAAGGCTTAATGGAAGAGGTAATGTCTGAAGTTTGGCTCACGAAGGAAGGAGTTTCCATAAGGCAAAGATTGGGCATTTGGTATGGGAGTATCCATTCAGGGCATTGAGATAAACAAAGGCAGAGAGGCAGAAGGAAAATTAAGAATGATGAGTAGGTAATCAATGCGTTGGAACATTGAGTATAGAAAGGAGAGTGGCTTAAGATAGACTTACAAAGGTAGGCTGAAGTCATTGTGGAGGTGTTTGAATGCCAAGATAAGCTTCACTTTATTCAACAGGAAGTCAGGAACCACTGAAAGATGTCAAGATGATGAGAAGTGAGCTCAGAGCAGTGCATTCGGGAACATGCTTGTGTAACAGTGTAAGAGGGAGGACGGACTAGAGAGACTAGTTAGGTCATTGCAGTCGTTCAGATGAAAGGTCATGGTGACATTGGGGTTGGAAAAGGTGGACATGGTGTGAGAGAAACATTCCCCAGGGAGATTCAGGTGGCCTTGGTGATGGATGAAGGTGAGAGAGAGGCACACCCAAGAACCAGAGGTGACTAAGGTTTCCAGCTTAGGAAGACAACAGTACCATCAGTTGAAATAGTGAAGTGAGGAATAAAGGTGAAGGTTTGAGGAAGATGATTTGTCCAATTTTATGTGCTTCTGGGTAGAATAAGTATAGGTTGATCTATTACAGAGGACTCATTAAAATTATTTGTAGTTTCTATGTCTTCTTACTTTGACTTCGTAGCATATGTTACTTAGATAATTATCGATCTATTCTGTTTTCTCCTTCCATTTGAGAAGAAATTTAGAAATGATTTAGTATCTATGTTATGGCTATAACAGGCAGCCTTTTCTCATAGACTTTTAATCAGGGATCCTGTTTATAAAATTTAGCTTCTCAATTGAAAACATTTCCTTTGGAGATTTCCATTTATAGAAATAAGAGTTTTAAATGATATAATCATGTGTTTAGGAAAAAATGAGATGCAAAACCCCCAGTTTCAAACAAATTAGAACTAAGCATGCTTTTTTTTTTCCAGATGGTACACTTTCTTACTCACTATGCTGACAAGATTGAATCAGTCCATTTTTCAGACCAGTTCTCCGGTCCAAAAGTCATGCAAGAGTATGTATAAGAGATGAAATTCCCAAACAAGTCTGCTTGACTAATTTGATGTTTTTTGAAAATCAACAAGGTGCCACCTGTAAGTTTCCCTTGCAAAATGGGTAAGGGAAACTGGTGGCAGGCTACTGAACTTAAGTTCATGCTGAGAGTTGTTTGGGTACCTATGTAAAGCAAACAAATGAACCCGCCCTGGTTTTTCCTGTGTCTCATTGTCATTCATTTATTCATGTGGTGTGGTGAATGATATTCTGGCAGAATGACTGCTGCTCAGAAAATGAGATATTGGGGCAAGTAGGTTGGTGCAGTGGATAGAGCATTGGCCCTGAAGTCAGGCGGACCTGAGTTCAAATCCGGCTTCAGACCAAACACTTCACCCTTACTAGCTGTGTGACCCTGGGCAAGTCACTTAATCCTAATTGCCTTTAAAAAAAATGAGTTATTAATCTGTTTGTCCTTTTGTGCTCCTACTTTCACATCTTGATTTCCAACTGTATACTTTCATTCAATAAGCATTTATTAATCACCTACTATGTTCCAGGCATTGTGCTAAGTACTAGCCTGTTTGATTTATTATACACCTTCATGCTCGGTGATTTATAGCCTCTTCTGGCTTCCTTCAGAGCAGGTAATTATATGCTTTCTGATGTGAAATGTTTTCTAAAGGCAGCAACAACAGCCTGTAGGACTTTGAACAGAAATTGTTCTGATGTAAACAGAACAAATACAAGGTTGCCTTGGGGGCTTGGATTTTTCCTTTAAATTCACAGTTCTGCTCAGAATAAAATTTTTACATGAAAGTATCTGTTGGGGAAGCATTATCATATTAACTTCTGACTTACATTTTCTTCAGAAGTAGGTTTTTCTCATGTGGACTGTGTATTTGCTACAGTTAGGAATTGCTCTGAATTTCAGTTTACTGTCAAGTTAAATAATTATCAATATACTCTGTTTTCTCTTTCCATTTGAGGAGAAACTTATGATTAATTTAGCCTCTATGTTATGGCTGCAAAAGAGGCAACCTTTTCTGGTAGACTTGTAATCAAAGATCCCCTGTCAAGTTAGCAGCGGCATCAGGACTATAAAGTTATCATTTAATTTCTAGGTTTATGATTCCTAGCAGGTATTTATCTGGGCCTCTTTAGCTTTCCTTTTTGATAATGAGCATCAAAGGCAAAGGGAGAGTAAGTAATTGTCTTAGGATGGTTAAAGCAAGTTGCTGGCAGTTTCAGAATTAAGGTCTGTAGCCTTACAATTTGCGTTATGTTGCTTTGCTCTTAAGCCTGAGCCTGATCTAGGACTGAGCTGCTTCTGCCAGAAGATTACCACATATACTAGTATATGAAAAACAAAAAGACTAAAACCCTACTAAAAATATGGCTTATATTTATTAAAAGTATCCTGGTCACACATACCAAAAAAGTTTCCTGATAGTGTTGGGTCGGGGGTAGGGAGGAGCTGCCACTTGTAACCTTATTGCAGAAATTATGTAAGCAGCAATCAATTCACAAACCTCCCTAGTTATTTAATTAGTTGAGACTTTTGAAGTGGATATTTGAAACAAAGCACTATGGTGACTGACATCACGCCCCATCTGTTTTCAAGTATGTATGTCCATCTGTTTGTGGTGACCAACACATACATGAGCAAGTTTCCCATGAATAGAGAATATGTCTCTTGTTCTCTGTCCAACCAGCCTTTTCTTTTTTCTTGTAACAGGGAAGGTCAGCCTTTAAAGCTGCCCGACACCAAGAGGACACTATTGTTTACATTTAATGGTAAGACTTGTAGCATCTGTTCAAGTCTTCATTCAGCTGCTGCTCTGTGAAGTAGTCTCCTCAAAGGGGAGTGTTGTGCTTTCTTTTAGATGAGAGAGGTAAAGCAACACTGCCTAACCCAATATGATCTTTAATCAAGAAAAGAATGTTAGTTCTTTCCTGTATCTTAGTTTCTATTGTCTGTCCCATTTTATAGCTAGCTACCTTTTAAAGGGGTAGGTGGATCTAAACTAAGAAAAATGCGGAAAACATTTCCTTTAATGATATAAAAAGAAAGGAAACTTAGGATCATTAATTAATAGGAAATGGGTTTGTTTTCTAGTACCTGGCTTAGGTAACACTTCCCCAAAGGATATGGAGGCTTTGCTGCCCCTGATGAACATGGTGATTTACTCTATTGATAAAGCCAAAAAGTTCCGGCTTAACCGAGAAGTAAGTGCCACTTAGAACTTTTCTTTCAAATGGGTGCATGTTTCTTACGCCAGCATTTATGGCTGATTCAGTGGATAGATAGAGGGCCAAGGGGTTTGAGGATGAAAATGGCATAAGAGCCCTTTTTTGAATAAATTAAATGGGATTTTTGCTTCTGAGCAATGGGCTATTGATTAAAATGCTTCTTTGTTGTAGGGCAGACAAAAAGCTGATAAGAACCGGGCCCGAGTAGAAGAGAATTTCCTGAAGCTGACGCATGTGCAGAGGCAGGAAGCTGCACAGTCTCGTCGGGAGGAGAAAAAGAGGGCTGAAAAGGAGCGGATCATGAATGAGGAAGATCCTGAGAAACAGCGCAGACTAGAGGTGACAAATCACTGGGGCCATGCCTTGGAAGGAATGGGGGCACTTTTATGTTTCCCTTCCCTCTCTCAATCGCATCTTTTATTTTGTACCATTTGAGAGGTACAAAAATGTCTCTTCGGGACATTTTCTCCATTCCAGTTCCTCCTGAAAAAAAAAAGTACTAGGTCTGTGATCATATCTGAACTAAGAGGTAAACAGAAATAGCCACTAAAAATAGAAAAAATAAGATGAAATGTTTAATGAATTTTAAAATCATTAATAAAATTAAAAACTCCAATATACAAAGAACAAAAAGAGATTATATATGAAACCATGTCTGTTACAATTTGTTTAAGTGTATATTAATTTAATTAGATATTAATAAAACTACCCTACTTGTGTCCCTTTTCTCCTGAACTTTTTCATTTTCAATTTTTGTTTTATTGATGCTCTTTTCTTTGTTGTTGTTTTTTTTTGTATCTCTCTAAGTTCCTGTTAACTTATCCTGCCCCAATTGAAAGCCCTCCCTTGTAATAAATCATTCAGTAAGCCCTACTATGTATGTATCAGGCACTGTGGAATACAGAGACAAAAGTGAAACCAATGCCTGCACTCAAGAGGCATACATTGTAATGGGAGAGATAGCAAGTATATCTACAAGTATATACAGAATATATACAATATTCTATTCATCCAAAGTAGTTTTTGGAGAGCACTGGTTACTACTAGGGCCATCAGAAAGGGTTCCTTTACAAAAGGAACCAAAGATTACTTAAAGGAAACCAAAGATTCCAAGAAGTAGAGGTGAGAAGGAGCTGCATTTCAGGCATGGGGAACAGCCAGTGTAAAGACAGAAAGGATAGGAGACGGAGCATCCTATGTGCTGGAATATTAAGCAGGCCAATATGCTAGAGAGCAGGCTTCATGCAGGGGAAGTAATGTATGAGAAAACTGAAAAGTCAGAAAGAAACCAGGCTGTGAAGAGCTCTACATGCCAGACAGAGAAGTTTATATTTGATCCTGAGGCTGATAGGAAGACATTAGTGTTAAATGATTTTTAGGAGCGAAGGCATGACATGGTCAGACCTATGAAGTAGGAACATTATTTGTCAACTAAGTGGAGGATGGATTGGAGTAAGAAGAGGTTCAGGGCAAGGAGACTAAATAGGAGTTTATTGAAGTAGTCCAGGCAAAGGATGACAAAGGCTTAAACTGTGGCAGCTATGTGAGGGGAGAGGAAGGAACATGTACAAGATTGTGGAGACAGAATCAAGAAGATTTGGCAACTGATTTGATATGTGGGATGTTTTAGCATGAGTAGCTGAGGATGACAATGACAATTCTAACTTGGGCAACTGAAAGGATAGTGGTACCCTGATAGCAATAGGGATGTTTGGAAAGTAGGGGAAGCAAAAAGAGAAAGGTATACTTTTTTTGGATATATAGTGCTATTGTCAAACAAATCAACACATTAGCCACATCTGAAAAGGTGTCTCATTCCATATTTCTAGTCCATCAACTCTGGGAAGAGTTGGGAACATTACTCATCGATCTACACAAAGCTTATGAGTGGTCATTGCCATCATCAGGGTTTTATATTTATTCAGAGTTACTTGCCTTTACATTATTGTGGTCATCTTGCAAATTATTTTCCTGGTTCTGCTCATTTCACTGTACACTGACTTATACAGTTCTTCCCAGGTTTCTCTGAATTCTTCATAGTCATCATTTCATATGATAACAGTAACATTCCATTACTTTCACATGCCACAATTCTGCCTATTTCCAAAGTTTGCTTTCTATGAAATAACTAAAAGGGTTTCTCCTTCTGGTCATTGTGTTAATTGTCTTTTTTTTTTATCATTCATCTGAAATTGCTCTTTCCAAAATTACCAATAATTTCTTAAAATTGCCAAATCTAGAAATCTTTTATTAATCCTCCTCTTTCTTAACCTCTCTGCATTATTTGATACTGTTGACCACCCTCTTCTGCATACTTCCTCTTCTCTAGGGTCCCACAACAGTATTCTTTCTTGGTTCTCCTACCTGATTCACAGTCATCTTTGCTGAATCTTTAGCAATATCACACTCTTTCACTGTTTATATATATATTCAAAGACTCTGTCCTGGGCCCTCTTCTCTCAGCTTACCCTCTCTCTCTTCCTCTTCCCCCTCTCCCCTTCTCTTCTTTCCCTCCCTCCCCCTCCCAGCTCCAGTCCCATATCACAGATTGCCTATTGGACTTTCCAAATTGGATATCCCATAGACATTTCAGGCATCACTCATTATCTTTCCCTCAAAACCTACCCCTCTTCTGAACTTCCCTTTCACTGGCAAGGGCACCATCATCCTTCTAATCATCTAGGTTCTCAGCTCTGAGTTTGCTCCAGTATTACTATGTTTAATGTTTGCTTTAAAAACCCCAAGAGCATGTAATACAGATTCAATGTCTCAAATACAATCCTCTTTTTCTGTTTTTTTGTGTAAGGAGATTTTCTTATTTGTTGATGTTTGTCAAGTTCAACATAAAAGTAGGGGGATGATAGGAACTAGACCCTTTATTTCATTGTTATAGGGAACTCACAGAGGAGGAACTTCCTCCTGTAATACAGGCTTGTGCCTTCTCTCCAATTTATAGTCCTTAGAGAGTTGCCTGGAGCACTGAGAGGTTAAATGATTCACCCAGGGTAACAGCCCCAGGTCTTCCTGGCTCCAAAGCCAGCTATGTCTCTACTGAAGCATAAATGTCAAACTCAAGGCCCACAAAACTCCAGAGTGCAGTTTGAACCAAATTAAAATGTAATTGGGAAATGTTTAACAAATACAATACAGCATAGATAATGTTAATTCGTCATTTCCTAAGTAAATATCCCAGCAGCAGGGATCCCTTTCTCTTTGAGTTTAATACCACTGTACTGTACTAAGACACACTGCCTCTCTTTAAAAAATCTGCCCCCCCACCTCCAAAAAACAACTGAATTGAGTTTACTTAGCTCTTTGTTTCATTAATCCAAGTTAGTGTTGACATACCAACAGAGGTAATAGATAGCTATGTCTGAAATTTGATAGCTTTAACTGAAATGTTAAAACTCCTGCATGGGGAAATTTTGAACAGTAATATAGGCAAGGCATTTTTTTTTTTGGTCAGGTTTGGGGGTTAACTCTCTTTTGCTTAATTTTGGATTCTTGCTCAATAGGAAGCTGCCTTGAGACGTGAACAGAAGAAGTTAGAGAAGAAACAACTGAAAATGAAGCAAATCAAAGTGAAATCCATGTAAATCGAAAGAAGCTGGCTGATTCCACTTATAAGCTCTGAATTCCCAGGATACAAAAAAAGTCCATTTCTCATCTTTAATTTCAAACACTCACCATTTGGGGAATCCTCATTGTATCATCAGCACTTTTTCTTGGTTTAGAGTTTTACAAAGTATATATATGAGTTTTAAGGATTCTGTTTCAATAATTTTTTTCCAGGTTCAAATTGCTTTGACTATTTTTAAAAGAAATGATAGTTCAAATCTCTGTGATTGTTTTTTAACTTTAAATTGTAAAATGAATCATCAGTGTCAGTCACATTTCAGTGCTTCTTGTTTTTAAGATATTTGATGTCTATAAGCAAAATCCTTGTTGCTTATGGGCAATTGAAATGGCTAGAGAAAAACTCTAAAACCAGGATTTCCCAAATGACTATTGAAATTGCACAATAAACATTGCTTGGTGTCACTTTCTGTGTCTCCATTAAGCTTGTTAAGGAATACAATTTAGAGCACTACAAATATGATTTGAATTTTCAGGAACGCAGAATTAATGTAATTTCTGATTTGTAGGTGGGAGGTGCTGATGACAGTATTATGAAATATCATGCTATCTATGATCATTTTTTAGGATACTTGTATGATAAAAAGTTCTTGGTAGTTGAAATATCAGGGATAGGTATTACAGGAGCAGTTTTCCTTCTTACCTGGTGCCACGAGCTCATCAAAAAGTGAATGCTGTATTTTAAATGATTGTGTGTACTTCTTTTTCTTGAACAACAAAACGTGATGGCTCTCAAATTCTGTGAAGAAGTTAATTCTTAAGATGTTTTCTTTCTTGGTTGCTGCTGCCTGTCAAATGTTTACTGAGAATCTCTTCTAGAAGGTGGCTATGCACCTTTGATTTTCTTTCTGCTATCCGCCCTTCTCTTACTTGAAGTCAGGCAGATCCTTTGGGTGGAGAGGAGTATCTCTAAGCAATCGAGAGCTGTGGCTGCTTCCCAAGGAAGCAGCTTTTAAGGGCGAGACCTGTCTGCACGAGCACTTTGCTTGGTCAGATCTCTGCATTTTATAAATGCTTCCTTCTAAGAAAGCATTTTTTAGTAACTACTTGTACTGGGTGTTTTGTGTTGGGATGGGGAAGAGTCAGGTTTTTTCTTGGGAGGGGGAGGGATTTTGTTGATGCTTTCTGTGCAGATCTGTTCTGAGGCAATAATAATGAATTGCTGTGGAAACAGCATGTGCTGAAGACGCCTTTGTTACTGCATGTAAACTTTTCACTGACTTTTTATCTTGGAAAATGCCAAATCCTGTAATTTGGAGATGTGAATGTAATTTTTAACAATTCATAAAATTAAATTATTAAAGTAATATACTTATGTGGAATTTAACTATTTCAATGCTTTAATTTTAGAATTAGTATTGTTCCACAACTTTTAAAGATGCTATAGTAAGGAAAGTTAATGTGCTATAATGTCTTTTGATTAAATGAAAGCTTTCTTAAAGACTTACATTTGGGCTATGGGAGCTAATTTTTATAATATGAGCATTCATACGAACTACCTATGAACATATTAAAATAATTGACCAAACAGTGCCTTCCTTATTTTACTAGTGTTGTCCTTTTTCAAGACTGTGAAATTCAGGACTATTTTCTCTCTGTGCAAGGTCAGCATTTGAGGCTCTTTAAAATTAATATCCTTTCTTATTCACCCTTGCCTTATCACACCATGTTCCCTGTCATCAGTGAGTATGTTCAAGAATGTACATGGGATGAATGGATTCTGATTTGCACCAATGGGTAGAGTACCCTAACTCTGAGAAGGTCCTGAATCCACTGAAGTGTCAGTGATGAATCCTAAGATGTGTTCGGACCTGAAAGCCCTTTATGAACTTTCTGTGCAAGTCCTCGTAATTGTGCCACCACTATTGCCATCTTTAGCCACAGAGAGGAGAGGGTTGCCTACTTTCCCAAAGGAGCAGATGAATCGCATCTCTCAGCACTACTTTCTAGAGTTCATTGCCTTGCCACTGAGCAGAACTACCAGCATCTGCTAGAACTGGCCCTGTTTTAAGAGGTTTTGCCTATACTTTGTTTAGTCTAGCTCTGCTGCCTTCTCTTCTGCCCAGCTCATTGGGGGAGAGTTCTGACTCTATCTGAGAAAATGGGCATAGGCTTCTTCCTTCTCATTAGGAAGCCTGACATTTAAAACTACTTGAGAGGGTGGGGGAGAGGGGTGTCTCTTTAAATTATGTGCTAGCTTTATAGAGCACTTTGTCCCTTGCTTGAGTAACTACAAAAGCATAGTCCTGCCCTTGTGGAACTTACAGTATGGCACCAGGATAGGACTACAACACCAGTAATTATAATGGTTACTACTAGGGTCAGAGAGGACCCATTGGAATTATCTTACTAGCCAAAGAGGAACAGACTTACCATCTCTCAAGAAAATTCTCAATGACTGACAATTGTGACATTACACATCTTTAAGAATTGAATCATCAGAATTTAATATGTATCTTGTTCTTTAACCATGTATCTTGGTGTTGGGGGATAAAGTTTTGTTATAGTGGACTTTGCCCTCCCTGCTGCTGGTTTTCTAAGGGGGAGGTTGTTTGATTTAGGGACCATACTCTGTTCCTCCTCAGACAGGGAGCCATATTAATGGATCCAAAGATTCAAGGAGAAGACAGCTGTGCCATGGAAGTGGCTGCACTTACTTCTGTAGGTAACCTTTTTTTTAATTTTTAGAATTTTAAACCTAAACATAAAATAAGAAAAGAAAAAAGAAACAAACTTAAATACTAAAACTAAAATAATACAAAATAAGAAAAGAAAAAAAAAACGTTGCCCCATGTGCAGCAGAACATGAGAGAGGATTCAAAATATGCAGCAATAAATTTCCATTTCAGGAAAGCCTATGTAATAAATACTCCACATTGTGTTGAGAGCTGTCCATCTTTTCTTTGCTTCCTAGTAAGTTTTCTTTTGTTCTCTGCTGTATACTTTTTGCTTTGTTCTTCCCCTGCCCTCCTTCCCTCCCTCCCCAAAGGCTACAATTAAGCACAGATATATTTATAGATAGATACATGTGTGTATATATATATATATATATATATATATATACACACACACACATGCATACATACATAGACATATACACATAGACATATTTGTATGTATACCTATACATAGAATTACACATACATATACTTAGATATCTATATCATTCTGATATATAGACATATATTCATGTGCATCTATGTAGGACCGTACTATACTTATTTGTCCACTGTTTCTCTGAGAGTGGATGACCTCTTCCTTCATAAGTCCATATTTTTCCAAGTCCCTGAACTGGTCATTTCCTACACCACAGCAATGTTCCAACCTTATACTAATTGTTTTAAATAATCCAAAACAATGTTGATGAATATGCCTGACACATAGTGTAGTTTCCCTATTTTTCTCTTTTGATTAAATCTGTTTTAGCCTTAACTTTGTCTAAAATCATGGTTACCACCCCTGCTCCTTTTTTCCTAACAAATTCTGCCCCTGATCTTTATTTTATATGTAGCTAACTTTCAAAACAGAATACTTTCCTCACTTGGGAGGAACTACCAAGTAACAAGATACTTGGATATTGCAGAAGCCATGGAATCTTCATTATGGCTCAAATTGAGTTCTATCCCTTGGTCAGAGTTTTAGGAAGTACATGCTAATATTTTTTAAAATTCCAAAATAGATTTGCAATGGAGAGTATACCCTCATTTTTTGGGACTTCTATGAAATACAGGAATTTACTAAATGGTGTTTATGTCAGCCCTGCTGAAGGTATGTAAATTTTCATCTCATAGTATCATTTTGGGGAAAAACAGGATTAAAGTAAGCACTCAACAAGATTGTAGCAGAGCCTAGACTGAAATTTCAGCCTCCAGAACACTGCACTACATTAGGAGTCCTAGTCCCAGTTCTCTCATGGATCAGCTGTGAGACCGGGGACAAGTAACTTAATTTGCTTTACCTTCTTCTATAAAATGGGAATAATACCTGCCTGTGTCACAGGTAAGGAGAAGCAAATGAAATAATGGATGGGAAAATACTTTGAATAGTAGAAAATTTTCTACAAATGTTCTATTTGCTAAACAGCATATTACAGCTCATCATTTTGTAGGATTGCAGATTGAGAGCTGAAAGGGACCTTAGAGGTCATTGTCATTCAACTCTCATTTTACATAAGAGGAAACTGAGTCTGAGGAGCCTGAATGACTTGCCTAAGGTCATACAGGTCATAAATGGCAAAGCCAGGATTTCAGGCTCTTTGACTCCAAATTTAGTACTCTTTCCACTGCACTGACTCGTCATCAAGTGTTTTTATAAGTCTTTCTGGATACTTTCCTCATAATTTTAATCTGGCATCTCTTGAGGTGTTCAAAGTACTTTACATTTTCTCCTTAAATCAGAATATTCTGCCCAAGCTAAAAGGGGCCCTGGTAAAGCATCTCATCCATCTTCCTACCTTCAGATGAATTCAATCTAAACCAGTGGAAGCAAATGGGCATTACATCCATTTTTAGAGCTCTCCAGAAATCCCAGAGGTATGAGATTCAGAGACTTGTCCCAGTTCACATGTCAAGGAAAAATCAAAACAAGAAAATAAATACTCATTTAAATGGCCTCTTACTGATTTGAATTTTCTTTGCTTCTCCGTAGTCTTGGTTATATCCTTTAAAATTGCTTGGAATTATGAACCTCTTCCAAATTTTTTTTCCGAATTATTGCTTACTTTCCCCCCAGAAAAATGAATGTATGGCTGTTAGGCAAGGTGATTTTATCTGGGTTTCATGTGCCAAGCCTGAGGAAATAAGATGAAGTGTCCAGGATATAAGCTTTGGCACTTACAGATGTTCTGTATGTTAACACTTCCATTGATGGGCAAACTGTCTTCTGCTTCATGCTTCAGACAAAATATTTGTCTTTAAGGGGCAGCTAGGTGGCTCAGTGGGTAGAGCACCGGCCCTGGAGTCAGGAGGACTGGAGTTCAAATCGAGCCGCAGACACATAGCTCACTAGCTGTGTGACTCTGGGCAAGTCACAACCCTAATTGCCTCACCAAAAAAAAAAAAAAAAGATTTGTCTCTATGCCAAATTCCTTATCCGTGGACTATGTACCTTCTCTTCTCCATTTGTTGACTTTCTATCTATTCCTGCTCCTTATCCCAACTCAGAGACCACCTCCTTCACCAAGCCTTGCCTGCTTCCCCAAGAAGGATCAAACTTCTCTCTCAGATCTCACATGACACTCTACTTCATATTGATAATGCACTTCCAGTTGAGTACCTCAGGGATCTGTAATTACATCAGTGTGGGTACTCTCTCCACTGACACACATCTCCTATGACCCAGTTGATAGTAGATGCTCTTTGAGATTGCTGTAACTGAAAAATTTATCACTTGGCAGCCAACCCCAG